CTGCTTCTCGTCCTGCCGCGCGTGAGATGCCCCGCGCCGTCGTGGGATCGCCCGCCCCGTGTGTTGTGGAGTGCTCGAGGGGGGAAGCGGTCAGGGTGCCACATCCGTCGGGCACGGCGCGTGTTCACACACCCGATAGGCGGAGGAACAAGAGGTCATGTCAAACGACGCGAAGATCGGGACAACATCGGATCGGGATAACTCGAAATCTCTGAGAATCGGCGGTTTTGGGGGATGTATTGGGCGCCGCGGCCGCTCCAGAGCGCTCCGGAACGCTCTGAGAGCGCTCCAGAACGCTCTGGAGCGATGTATCCCGATCCTAGCCCTGTTTTACACACACCCGATAGTCGGAGGAACAAGAGGTCATGAGACTGACACGTTCCAAGCTCTCGAGGACGTGCTTGATCTCGATCTCTGGATGCTCCACGAGAGCTGCAGAAACGAGGCCCGCTGGATACTTTGTGTGGAAATCCTGCAACGTACCTCGAGCCGATCCCGTCACGACACCAGTCTCGCCCTAGGTATGACACCTCGGGCTGGACACCTGTCCACTGAGGTGGTTCCTTCGTCCGTACGCTCTTCTCTGGTGTTGCCAGAAGTGCCCCTGGCCCAAGGCACCCCCAGGAGTCTCGGGGTGGCCCGGGCGGCCTCCAGAGCACCCCTCACGAGACCCAGAGGGTCCCAGGGGCTCCAAAATTGAGCGAAAAGCTAACGCCGGTCGTTGAAAGTAGGTATTTTGGGATTCCCAGATCCCAACCTACTTCAAGCGCCTTCCTGCTTCAAGAATCGGCACGCTTGTGCTGTGTTTTGTTATTCCCTGGGGGGGCCTGGACCCAGTCAACCTAATATCCGCCTTCCTGCTTCATGCTTTCACCTGCTCCTTCCGGCCGACGCGCAGGGGCACCCTGGGCCGGGGGCACTTCTGGCAGCGCCCGCCCTGCCCTCCCGCGGCGCACAGGCGCAGCAGCTCGCCCGGCTCGCGGAGGAGTAGGGGGCCACCTGCGAACCCTACCCTACCCCTACCCCTCCTCCTCCTCCTCCTCCTCCTCCTCCTCCTCCTCCTCCTCCTCCTCCTCCTCCTCCTCCTCCCCCTGCCCCCCGCGCTCCCCCCGCCACGACTTCTGAGGCGGAGGGGGGGGGGCCCACTTCGCTCGGGGTAGCTCCTGAGCGGAGGGAGCCCCCCCCCTCCCCCTCAGAACTCGTGGGGGGCAGGGGGGGGCAGGCTTCGCAGGTGTGCCCCCCTGAGGAGGTCCAGGACCTCCGGCTCCACGAGCTGGCCGCCCCCGAGGAGCGGGCGCCTCTGCCCAGCGAGGCGAGCCCGGAGGCGGCGCGCGCTCTCTGCGGCTCTCTGCCCTCTGCGGTGCCGAGGCGCCGGCACCGGCGATCGACGCCGGACTCGTGTCGGGGGCAACGACAGGGGGTGTATACAGTCATCGGCCTGACCTAAGGAACGATAAATAAGGAACGAACCCCCTTTTCTTATCCCAAGGAATAACGCATAAGGAACGATAAATAACAAATAACGCATAAGGAACTGTAACTAACGCATGCAAACCTAAGGAACGACCGAGCCCCTTTTGAAAAGTAGGTGTTCCTTATTCAAGCCGCTCACTGTAGGCATGCAGTGGGGGCGCGCAGCAAGAAGCCATGTGCTTCTCGTCGGGGTGTCCTGGGTTTCTTCGCGCCTCGCGCTGCGCGGTGGCTTCCCGCACCCGTGGAGGAAGCTGCTGCGTTCCGGGTGCTCCAGGTTTCCCCTTTGGTGCACCTCGCGCACGGGTTGTCAGGGTTGGGTTTCTTGCGAGGGTTTCTTGCGGCCGCGCCCGCATTGTAGGGGGGGATGCATCGACCCCCAATCGCCCATTGATCAACGATAGGGGCCCGATAGCCTCAGCCTGCCCAGGAATGTGCTGATTCACGATCGGAGGCCTATCGTCGATCTATTGCGAAGGCCTTACGGCTGGTGCCGCCGACCCTGAGGTTTGGGAGGAGGGCGCGGAGCATGGGGAGGAAGATGAAGAGGGGGACAGGAGGACGAGGCGGATGAGGAGGAGATGGAGCACAGGGGGGGAATCAATATATGGAGAGTGAGGCGAGCAGGGTCGCGGGGGGGGGCACGAAGGGAGGACAGGGGCGAGTAAAGCGTGGCGATCATGAGAGGAGAAGGAGGGAGATAATGGCGAGGATGTTGACGATGTTGACGACGACGCCAGTTGCCCATCAGGACCATTCGGGGCGTCTTGGAGCCCTCCTGGGGCGACTTCCAGGCTTCGTTCGGCGTTTTGAAGCTAGGTTCGGCATCTTGGGCATCTGGGAGGCCACGTAGGTGTAGTTAGATTTGGAGGGCGCTGGGGTCCGGCGGGGCGGGGGCCGGGGCCGGCCGGGTCCGGGGCCAAGGCGGGGAATTGTGGGGCCCCTAGTGAAGAAACAATCACATTACCCCCAGGACCCCCCTGGGACCACCCCCCGGGACCACGCCCCAGAACCCCTCTCGGGACCCCCGCCCAGGACCCCCCCCCCGCCCTGGGAATGGATCCAAGGGAAGGGCTTTCCTTCACATCCACGTGAACGATGTTATGTGGCGTTGTGGCTGGAGTGGATTGCTTCGCCGTCACCTCCATGTCAACGATGTTATGTGGCGTAGTGGCCGGAGTGAATTGCTGCAGGAGGGATGGCGGCGACCACGCGGACGAACGCGTCTCGCACGCACCGACAGGGTCGGCGGATTGGCGATGTATCGCCGATTCCAAGTCGATGCAGCTTCCCCTGGTGCCAGTTCCCCCCTACCGTTGCCCCTCACCATAGCCCCTGCGGCTGCCTCCCAGTCTGGGCTCGCAGATTCCTGCCTCATGCCCGCTGTCGAGACCCCGTGGCCAACGACCGTGCTTATTGGCCTCTCCCTCACACGCGCCGACAGGGTCGGCGGATGCGCTGGTGATACTGCCGCGGGAGCAGGGCATTGATGAATGGATTAGCAGCTCGGCTCGAGAGGCCAGGCATCTTATCCGTGCCGCCACTTCGGCACCTCGTCGGGTTTGACCGTGCGCGGGGCCATGGATGAAACGTCGATCGCCGATCGCCTGTGGAACAAACGCCGCGTGGAGCTCGGGAGGGGCTCTGATTTTCGAGCCGTCCCTTAGTTTGAAGTCGGGCATGTCCCTCTACAGGGGGAATATTCAAGCTTTTGTGTGTGTGTGTGTGTGTGTGTGTGTGTGTGTATGTGTGTGTGTTTGGTATGTATGTCTGTCTGTCTGTCTGTCTGTCTGTCTGTCTGTCTGTCTGTCTGTATGTATGTATGTATGTATGTATGCATGTATGTATGCATGTATGTATGTATGTATGTATGTATGCATGTATGTATGTATGTATGTGTGTGCGTGTATGTATGTATGTATGTATGTATGTATGTATGTATGTATGTATGTATGTATGTATGTATGTACATGCATGCATGCATGCATGCATGTATGTATGTATGTATGTATGTATGTATATGTATGTATGTATGTATGTATGTATGTATGTATGTATGTATGTATGTATGTATGTATGTATGTATGTATGTATGTATGTATGTATGTATGTATGTATGTATGTATGTATGTATGTATGTATGTATGTATGTATGTATGTATGTATGTATGTATGCATGCATGCATGTATGTATGTATGTATGTATGTATGTATGTATGTATGTATGTATGTATGTGTGTACATCTCCAGACCATGTTCAACATTCCTCCACAGTCCGCCTGTAGCAGGACATGCCCGACCGAATCTTGGTTCCAGGTCGTGCAGCCCGCTCGTGGCCGAGGCTGGCCGTGGTCGGAGGCAAATCCCCTCCGTTTTCCGCATCTGGCGTCCGTCGGCGGGGCGCCGAGGCGGGGAGCGAGAGGGGGCAGGCCCTCCCAGAGGACAGCCCCCTCCTCGTTCTCCTTCTCCCCCTCCTGGTTCTTCTCGTCCTACTCCTCCTCCTCCTCCTCCTCCTCCTCCTCCTCCCCCTCCTCTTCCTCCTCCTCCTCCTCCTCCTCGCGGGGCCCTGTAGTCGGGCAGCACATCGCGGTATCCTGGCACGTCGATTCGTGGATTGTCCGTTCTCGGTTCGCCAGGGGCGGGGCTGGAGACGCCGCCGGAAAAGGGGCAAGAAGTCCGCGCAGAGCTCCGACAGTCTGCGCTCATGCTGCTTGTTCGTCCTCTACAGGTGTCGGCGTCGCAATCTTCCAGGGGTCACTTTCGGGGGTGGAGAGAGTCCCCACCCTGACACGTCGATTCGTGGATTGTTCGTTTTTGGCTCTCGAGAAGGCGCCGCGGCCGTCCTTTTTTCTTTGCGCCCGCCAGGCTTGGGCCCGAGGTCGTCCTCACAAGGGGTTTCTGTCAATCCCCGAAAGAAGCTTTCCATGGCTTCGGAGAAGGCTCAGAGATCGCTCACAACTCTTTGTAGCCTTCCCTTTGTCTTAGGCGAGGGAAGAAGCGCGCTGCAGGCGAGCCTCGGGCCGCGGTCGGCCGAGATGCCACGGGCCAGCGCGAGGTTCTCGGGCCACCTGCCATCGGCCACAGCACCGGGGGAAGGTAGCCAAACCCCTGTCCGCGGACGCACGAAACCCGCTGGCGCGTTCACTCCTTCGGGGAAGGCGTGCATCATGTCATCACGCAGATCTTGTTGCTATGTGTTTTTCGCATTTCTTCCATGGTATCGCACCAGAGTGGATGCACCACATGCGAATCCATCTGAGTGTCATCATGTTGGGCGGTGCAAGCCAGTCGGTGTTCTGCTGTTCCCCTGAAGCAGTTTGCGCAACACCAGAAGGGAATTTGCGCACATCCGCCAGTTTGAAACGAGAGACGAAGTCCAGGCTCTTCTGGCCCCCTTTCATGTGCTCTTTTGCTCGCCTTCCTCTTGCTCCGTTCGGTAGCATTTTGGGTTCAGGCTACAGTTCCCTCAGAGATTTCTCAACTCGCTTTGAGCGTCTCCAGTCTAGCCCAGAAGGAGCAGATCGTGGCCAATGGGGGCTAGCCAGAGTCAGCAGGGAGGAGAAGGCGCACAATTTCCAAAGGACTTCGCGTTCGGGGTTGCCAGCGCGGCCTGCCAGATCGAGGGTGGGTACCGGGAAGATGGCCGCGGCGCGTCGATTTGGGACACCTTCTGCGGCCTGGACACGCTCGGGATGCCTGGCTCGGTCTGGACCGAAGAGACCCTGGCCCAGCTGGGGACCGGAGGCCTGTGTCCAGCAAATTCTGCCATAGCAGATCCTGCCCGCGATTCCCTGGGAGCTACGACCGAAGATGCCACCTCTTTCCGCTACACGTACAAGTCGGACATCGAGTTCATGGCGAAGAGTGGCATCAAGCACTTCAGAATGAGCTTGTCGTGGTCACGAATAATCCCGACAGGTTTCCTGGCTGACGGCGTGAGTGAGTCGGGCGTGAACTTTTACAAGGATGTGTTTAAGACAATGCGCCAACATGGTATCACCCCACTGGTCACCTTGTACCACTGGGACTTGCCGCAGGGATTGCTAAATGCCCCAGGCCCGATAGAGCATTTGAGCAAGCTGAAGTTCCACGACGAGACGCCAGGTTACTACCAGGGCTGGTACAGTGCCACGGCATCAGCGACCGGTTTGCCAGTTCCACGTGGGGTAAATGCCGTTGTCGTGAAGGAGTTCACCAACTACGCCGACTTTTGCTTCAAGACCTTTACAGATGTGAAGGACTGGTCGAGTTTCAATGAGGCTTGGGTGGCATCAAAACTGTCGAGTGGTTGGGGGAAGGCCCCCTCAACAGCACCATATCTGGACGTGAATGTTTGGCCTTACGTGGCAGCGCACAACATGATCATCGCGCACGCGCAAGCAGGCATGGCAATTAAAGACAAATACCCGAAGCTCAACTACAGCATGGTCAACAACTGCGACTATCCCAGCTGCCTGCGGCAAATCCCGCACCATGCCGTCGCGGCACTGAAGAGTACGCACGATGCTCCTGCTGATGATGCTGATGATGATGATGATGATGATGATGATGAGGAGGAGGAGGAGGAGGAGGAGGAGGAGGAGGAGGAGGAGGAGGAGGAGGAGGAGGAGGATGGGGGAAGGGGGAGGAGGATGGGGGAGGGGGAGGGGGGAGGTGGACGGGGAGCAGGAGCCCCGCACATGCTGGGCGTTCTCGCTCTTCGAGAGGGCCCCGCGGCCTCCCGGGACTCCTTCTGCTCGACCGCGCCCCGGGCGCGGTGGCTCTGCCGGGCTCCCCGCGGAACAGCAGAGGGCCCCGCAGAGAGCCGTCGCGGGGGGCCTGTCTGGGACGCAGCGCCGCGGTGCTGCAGCGCGCCTCGGCGGCGCGCCCTGGGGGGAGTCGGGCCGAACGAAAGGGGGGGATAGGGAAAGGGGGGGTTATGAAATCTGCTGCATGCAGCTGGCTTCGGCCTCGCCGCCGGGCCCATTCCTCGATGCACGGCGCCTCGCGCCAGGAGGCGCCGGGAAAATCAGCTGCGTGAGCTGATTCTCAAAGTCCCCCTTTGCTATCCCCCCCTTTCGCCCGACCCGAGGGAGGCGAGAGGGGCCATCCTGGGGCGAAGGGCTCGAAGTTTCGATTCCGTCGAGTCCCGTTCCCCCCACTGGGGCCCCTCTTGGGCGCTCCCTGGGGCTCCTTCGGGCCGTCTTGGGGGCCTCTCGGGCCGTCTTGGGGCCGTCTCGGGCCGTCCGGAGTCGCTCTTGGTGGCCTCCAGGGCCGTCTCTGGGCGATCTTGGGGGCCTCTTGGGTCGTCTTGGAGCGCCGAAAGCCCGAAAAGGCGAAAGCCCGAGAAGGCCAGAGCACCGACACTGCGAGAGCACTGACATACATATATACATGCACACATTCTTCATTCGTTCGTTCACACATACATACATATATGCATACATACATGCATGCATGAATGCACACATACATACACACATCCATACGCATACATACGCAGACATACATACATCCATCCATACATCCATACATCCATACATCCATACATCCATACATACACACATACATACATACACACGTACACACATACACACATACATACATGCATACACACATACATGCATGCATACACATATACATACATACATACATACATACATACATACATACATACATACATACATACATACATACATACATACATACACACATACACATACACACATATACATACATACATACACATACACATACATACATACACATACATACATACATACATACATACATACATACATACATACATACAACCATACTTACATATATGCATAATTACACACATACATACATACACATGCATGCATGCATGCATGCATGCATGTACGCATGCATACACACACATACATGCATACACATATACATACATACATGCATGCATGCATACACACATACACACAAACAAACATGCATACATGCATGCCCGCATACATACATACACATTCATTCATTCATTCATACATACATACATACATACACACATACATACACGCATACACACATATATACATACATACATGCAGACGCATACATTCAGCCACACATACATGCATGCATACATACATCCATACACATACACATTCGTACATACATGCATACATACACACACGTACACACACGTACATCCATCCATCCATCCATACATACACACATACAGGCACGCAACCATCTATACATACATACTTCCATACATGTATACATGCTTACAACCACAACCATTCTTGCATACATGCATACATACACATTCACACACATATGTCCACACATACATGCATGCACACCTACATACAATACATATTATTCATGTAGGCACATGAACATGTTTGCTCGTTCATATCTATATATGTATTTATACGCAGCCCCCCCCTCAGTATCCAGTGACAGTTTGACGGTGTTCTTCTCTCATCCTTTCCACTCGTTTGCTTCTCCTCCGCCGATGCGTCCTCCTTCTTATTGTTGTTCTCTTCCTGTTACCTCTCTTCCCCATCATCCTGCTACTGCGGGACACTCCTACTGCTACTGCTGCTGCTGCACCTCCCCCTTCTCCTTTCGTCGTGCTCGTCTCCACCTTCTCCTCCTCCTCCTGCTCCTCATCTTCCTCTTCCACTTCCGATGGGGCAGAGGGGCAGGGAGAGAGAGAGAGAGAGATAGACCAGTCCGAGCAGGGACCTCTGTGACATAGCAAGGCTTGCGCAATACGTGGGCGCCAAGCCCTTTGTTTTCGTATCATGCGTTTTTTTTTTTTTTTTTTTTTTTTTTTTTTTTTTTTTTTTTTTTTTTTTTTTTTTTTTTTTTTTTTTTTTTTTTTTTTTTTTTTTTTTTTTTTTTTTTTTTTTTTTTTTTTTTTTTTTTTTTTTTTTTTTTTTTTTTTTTTTTTTTTGTTTTTTTTTTTTTTTTTTTTTTTTGTTTTTTTTGTTTTGTTTTTTTCTTATTCTGTGTTCTTATATTCCTGGTATGACAACCCCAGAGACCATCTGATTTCTTGTTTTTCTTTTTTTTGGGGGGGGGGGGGGATTTTCCCCTATGAGAGCTTGCTTCTGTAGGGGTCCTAGCGGATTCATATGGTTAGGTGAGGTATGACCCCGATTTCGGCGGCACGCCCGGGTGCCCAGGTGCCCTGTAGCCCCATAGCTCGATAGCCCTATAGCCCTTTAGCCCTAGAGCCCTAGAGCCCTATAGCCCTATATAGCCCTATAGCCCTAATAGCCCTAATAGCCCTAATAGCCATAATAGCCCTATAGCCCACTGGCCCTATACCCCTTTAGCCCAATAGCCCTATAGCCGTATAGCCCTAGCCTTATAGCCTTATAGCTTTATAGCCCTACAGTCCTATAGCCCTATAGCCCTACAGTTCTTCAGCCATGTAGCCCCATAGCCCTACAAACCTACAGCCCTATAACCCTAGAACCCCATAGCCCTACAGCCCAATAGCCTTATAGCCTTATAGCCCTATAGCCCTGTAGCCCCATGGCCCTATAACCCTATAGCCCTATGGCCCTATAGCCCTAATAGCCCTAATAGCCCTATATCCCAATAACCCTATAGCCCTTTAGCCCAATAGCCCTACATCCCTATAGCCGTATAGTCCTACAGCCTTATAGCCTTATAGTTTTCTAGCCCTATAGCCCTATAGCCCTACAGCTCTAAAGGTCTATAGCCCTATTGCCCTGTAGCCGTTTATCCCTGTAAACCTACAGCCCTATAGCCCTATAACGCTATAGCGCAATAGCCTTGTAGCCGTATAACCCTATAGCCCGATAGCTCCATCATTTTTTGTTAAAACATAAATAATTAAGTCATTTTAACATATTGAACATTATTATCATGTTTTGTTTGTTTGTTTGTTTTTTGTGTGGCTTTTTCTGGGTAACATATATTAAATATAATTATTACTCTTAGCATTTTTATTTTTATATTATGTTGTATATATTCTGGTAGTATTTCATATTCTTCAGCGAAAATCCACGCTGCAGCCCTTCAGAGCTCGGAACCGGAAAAACCCCACAGACATCAAACATCCACGTGGAGCCACAGGGGTCCTGGGTTTGTCATACCATGAATCCCAAACCTCCCACTGAGATCACAAGGTTCGAGGCTCCCTTCCTTCTCAAACCACTTGATTTCACAGGGGTCGCTGCTCTCTCGAGCCTCTCTCTCTCTCTGTCTCTCTCTGCCTCTCTGCCTCCCCGGAAGAGTGAGAGGCCGCCTCCCTTCCTTTCCGATGATGCAGAGTGGCAGAGAGAGAGAGAGAGAGAGAGAGCGCGAGCGCGACCGAGAGAGAACGAGAGAGGGAGAGAGAGAGCGAGAGGGAGCGAGCGAGAGAGAGAGGGAGAGAGACTAGGGGGAGCAACGATCCGTGCGAAATTGCAAGGTCTGCGAAGCAAGGGGGCCCCAAACCCTGTGAGGTCCTTGGCTGTTTTGGGAGATCTCTCCTACGAGAGGCCGATTTTGTTTTGTTGTTGAGTTTGCATCCTCCGGCGAGCATCCCCGCGGCAACCCTCCAGCGCTCCGAACATAAGAAACCCCATCACTCACAGCCATCACAACGGCATCACAGGGTGTCTGACCAGAGATCACATACAGATCCAAGCCAACTCTCAGAGGTCTTGGCGCCCTCCCCGCCCCCACTCTCTCCTTCGCAGGCCACACGATTCCAAAGGGATCGCTGTTCCCTCGTCTCTCTCTCTCTCTCGCACTCTCTCTGCCTCCCTGCCTTTCTGCCTCATCAGAATGACGAGGATGCCTCCTCCTCCTCTTCCTCCTCCTCCTTCTTCTCTTCCAATGGGGCGGAGGGGCAGAGAGAGCGAGAGAGACACACATCTATATAGGGAGAGAGAGAGAGAGAGAGAGAGAGAAAGAGAAAGAGAAACATAGAGCGATAGAGAGAGAGAGAGAGAGAGAGCGAGAGAGAGAGAGGGAGAGGACGAGAGAAAGATAAACAGAGATAGCGAGGGAGAGAGCAAGACAATAGAGAGAGAGAGAGCGAGAGAGAGAGAGAGAGAGAAAGATAGTGAGAGACACGAAGAGAGAGAGAGAGAGAGAGAAGAAGAGCGAACGAGAGAGAGAGAGAGTGACAGAGCGCGAGACATATAGGGAGATGGGGAGAGACTAAGGTAACGACAGGGAAAGAGTAATAGAGATAACACACACATATGTGTAGATGTTACACATAAAGAGAGCGTACTAGAGATAGAGGGTATATATATAGAGAGAGAGAGAGAGAGAGAGAGAGAGAGAGAGAGAGCGAGAGAGAGCGAGAGCGAGAGAACGGGATAACGCGAGCGAGAGAGCGATACATATATAGAGAAGAGAGAGAGAGAGAGAGAGAGAGAGAGAGAGAACGAGAGAAATAGAGGCTACAGGGAGCAGTCATCCGTGTGACATTTCAGGGTTGCGAAGTAGGGGGACAACTGTTGTTTTCATTTTTTGGGTCGTCATAGAAGTGAGGTGCTACAACTTTTCTTTTTGATTTTATCGGTTTGGTACCCTCCAGCGAACATCCACGCAACAGCCCTCCAGAGCCCAGAACCCCAGACATCCCACACAACTTAAACCGCCAAATGAACGCATAGGGCCTTTAGGATTCCCATACCAGAAATCCCACATCTCCCACGTGAACTCGCAGGGTTTGGCGTCCCGCCCTCAAGCCCCCCCCTACTTCCACAGAGATCGCTGCTCCCTCCAGTCCCTCTCTCTCTCTCTCTCGCTGTCTCTCTGCCTCTCTGCCGCGTCGGAAGAGGAGGATGAGGAGGGAGGAGGAGGAGGAGGAGGAGGAGGAGGAGGAGGAGGAGGAGGAGAGAGGAGGAGGAGGAGGAGGAGGACGAGGAGGGAGGGGGAGGACAATGGGGGAGGAGGAGGAGACGAGCGCAACGAAATGGGGAGGGAGCGCAGCAGCAGCAGGAGGTCCGCAGAGTGCAGGAACGCGAGGGAGATACGCAACAGGAAGAGAAGGCTACGACGAAGGAGGACGCCTAGGAGGACCAGGAGGAGGACGGAACGACCTGACAGGCACAGGGGAGAATAATACTGTCACAAGCCATGGCGACGACCAGTGGGTGCGGGGGGTGGGCATGGATCCATACACACATACACACATATATATATATATATATATATATATATATATATATGTATATATATGTATGTCTGAATATATATATATATCTATATATATATATATATGTTATCTAGTTTATATAAGTATACCCAGTTGCTTGTGGCACGCCCAGACACCGTGCCAGCCCAACATTCAGGGTAGCGACTGTTCGAGGGGGTGATGCTGCTGATGATGCTGCTGCTGATGATGCTGATTATGATGATGATGATGATGATGATGATGATGATGATGATGATGATGATGATGATGTTGCTGCCGATGCTGATGTTGGTGATACTGCTGATGATCATACTGAGGATGCTGATGAGGATGCTGATGCTGAGGTTGATGACAAGACTGGTGATGCTGATGATGCTGATGACGACGATGCTGATGATGGATTTGGTGATGGCGATGCTGTTGCTGATCATGCTGATGCTGGCTGCAGCTTTAACTGCCGCCACCGCAGCTGATGATGATGCTGATGGTGCTGATGATAACGATGGTGATGTTGATGATGCTGATGATGCTGATGATGATGACTCTAATTATCATCATCACCATCGTTTTTCTTATTCGTATAATTTTAGTATTTTGTTTTTTGGTTATCAGTATGATAATAATACTTTTCATGACTCTTCTTATTCTTCTTATTGTAAGTCATAATAGTAAACGCGTCTGGACCGTCTTTGGGCTGCCTTGGCCTCCTGTGATGCAGTCTTGGGGGTCCCTTGGGGGCACTCTTGTGCGGTCTTTGGGCCCTCTTACGCTGGCTTGGGGCTCTCTTGGGCCGTCTTGGGGCCCTTGCCGTATGGTGGGTCTCTGGGACCGTCCTGGGGCCGTCTTGTGCCGTCGAAAGGGCATTCTAAGGCAGTCTTTGGTCCCACGGGAGGCTCTCTTGGGCCGTCCTGGGGCCATCTTGGGTGTCTCTTTGGCCATCGTGGAGTCATATTGGGCCGTCTTGAGCTGAGGACAGCCCGAAAAGGCGAAAATGCGAAAATCATTCAACATTTGCTTCTTCTGACCCTGTTGGGGGTCATCTTGCGGCCATTGTTGGTGTTCTTGGAGGCTTCTTGGGTCGTCTTTAACCAATATTCGGCCGCCTTGGGGCCATCTTGGGCCGTCTTCGAGGCATCTGGGGCCATTTTGGTGTCCTTGGTTGTCTGCACGGGCCATCTTGTAAGCTCGGGACGCATATCCATCGTTTTTTATCGAGGGATCGTGGCTTGGAAGGCCCTGCAGCGCTTCGGAGCAGCACTTGGGAGCGCGGGAAGTGCACGATCCTCGAGCGGGTGTGCGTGGGATGGGGGGCTTAATAGTTAGCAGCCGGAAGTGTACAATCCTCGAGCGGGCGCGCGTGGAGTGAGGTTTCAGGCATTAGCTGTCATGCGGGAAGTCCACCATCCTCGAGCGGGCACGCGTGGAATGGAGGTTCAGAGGCATAGGCTGCCACGTTGGAAGTGCACCATCCTCCAGCGGGCACGCGTGGAATGGGGGATTCGGCACAGGCTGCCGTGGTGGAAGTGCGCCATCCTCGAGGGGGCACGCGTGCACTTGAGGATTCGGCATAGGCGGCCATGATGGAAGTGCGCCGTCCTCGAGCGGGCACGAGGGATCGTGGCCTCGGTGAGCAGGGGGGGATGCGCGCGAGAGTCTGCCAGCGGAGGGAGGAGCGGCCCCCGGTGGGGATGCGCAGAACCCTGCCGGGCACCCCAGCGTTCTCCCGCGCCGCAGCGTGCCACGGGTGCACTGTGGCGGACGTCCCGCGCCCACGTTTGCCCAAGAGGGGTGCTTCTACAGTGGAGGTCCATGCCAAGAAGCCCCCCGCTTGCCTCCAGGGTGCCTTGGGTTTCTTGGGTTTTGCGATGGGAGGCGTTTCGTTCCCACACCCAAAAGTCGACGGACGTCCTGGGGTCTCAGCGTTTGTCAGGAGAGGAAAAAACACGCAGACACAATTCATCCTCGATTCCTCAGAAAATATGGGAAAGTATGGGAAGTGGGGGGGAAGACAGAAACCCAGAAAATATAGGAAAATATGGGGAATCTTTTTATTTGTGTGTACTTATTTGTGTGTCCTGGGGCCTCTTCAGTTTGGTTTCTCGTGGAGGGCTTCTCGTGGACGGGCCTCCGCTGTGTAGGGGCGGGGGGAGACGGGCCGCCGCCCTCGGGGAGAGAAGACGCTCAACCCTTAACCAGGCAGCCAGCCTCGGGGGCGGCCAAGAGGGGGGTGATGACTAGGGGGGTGGGTGGATCTCATGGCGGGGGCCACGATATCTCAGATTTCATGGCGCCTCGTCTTTTTTCAATGCGTCCCCAGCCCCCCCTGGGCCGCGCACATGCCGCGGGCTACACTTTGCGCCCCTCTTGGCCGGCCCCGACAGCTGGCGTTTTGGCACGCCCGCGCGTGCCGTTTGCACGATGGCGGATCAGCACCCGGTCGACGAGGCGAACCCGCAAAACAGGGCTATAGCTCTCTCTCTGGTCGACGCTTGGCTCGGGTGGTTCATGCATCCCGTCTACGGCATTCCTGACGGAAGCGGTGGGTTCATTCACGACTATCCCGAATCGATGCGTACCGGGCCGTTCAAGCTGTCCTACCTCCCAGCGTTCACCGAGAGTGAGAAAGCCTTGCTGAAGACCAGCCGTGCTGCGCTCACTGCCATCGGTCTCAATCATTATGGCACGAACTTGGTTGATGCCGAAGGCAACACGTCCAACGCAGGCAAAACTAAGATGTTCGACAATAAGATCCCCTTGTCTTATTCATTCGAGAACAAGGGTATTCCCACCGCGGAGTCGGGCTGGCTTAACATGGCCCCATGGGGCCTCCGAAAGCTGCTCAACTACATCAAAGACACATTCCAGCCCAATCTGCCTATCTATATCACCGAGAACGGCTGCAGTGACGGCGCGAATCGAGGTTCACAGGGCCATTACGATCCTGCCAGAGTGATGTTCTACCATGACTACTTGACTGAGGTCCACAAGGCCATGACAGAAGATGGAGTCGACGTTCGTGGCTACTATGCCTGGTCGATTTTCGACAACTACGAGTGGGAAATGGGATACCGCGAGATGTTTGGTATCATGTATTCGGACATCGAGTACCTTCGCAGCCAAGAAGAGATTGACAGGCACAACAAGACCACGAGAGGACCAAAGCTCGGTGAGGAGCACCCGCTTCTCCATTTCGAAGGCGATGAGAAACTGGAGATCAAGCGGCAGCTCGTGAGTCCCATGATCAAGCTCCCGGCGCCTTCCAAGCAGAAGATCGCAAAGCGCTCTTTCCTTTTCCTGAAAGACTCGCTGATGGGAGACAACAGGAAGCTTGCGAACCCGCTGGCTTACGTGTCGCTGACACAACTCGAAGACTACCCGTTCGATATGATCAATCATGTGCCTGTTGTGGGCTCCGCGACGCCGTGCGAGCCAGTCGCGGACGACGGGACGACGGAGAAGTTGAAGAAGGAGAAGAAGGGGAAAAAGAGCAAGAAGGTGAAGGTTACATCCGGCAAGATGAAGGGCTGCTGCTGAGCGCCGACCGCTTCTGGCGGGGGGCGAGAGCGGCCGCAGAGCGAGCCGCGGGTGTGTGCTGCACCCGCTCCGCGAGGAATCCTTATGCGTGCTGTGGCCATGGCTCGAAGGAGCCTGTGAGGCTCAGAGTATCCGAGGGTCCGAAGGGCTGCGCTCACGGCCGCTGGCCCCCCGAGGCCAAGAAGCCATGCTGTAGGCCATCTCGGACAGCTTTCAGCAGCTTCGACGCCGCGGCTCCCCTGCGAGGCAAACGCGTGAAGACAGGACGGGGGAGACAGGATACATTTGGATGCAACTCCTGGAAGGTTAGATTCAGCATCGCCGCCGATACTTCTGGGGTCGAACACCGCCTGAGCAGGCTTCGTCCCGCTGAACCTGGCTTCATCCCGTGGAGTCCGGCTCAATCCTAGGCTCAATTTGGGTCAGCCAGGCTGGCCCCTTCATCGGGCTTGCTAAGACCTAATCGTTCCAGGAGGCGTCCCAAGATGCAGGAGACAGGACAGGACAGAGAAAGCACGAGACACCAGCAAGACAGCAGTCCACCAGTGTATCCCTCACAGCTTGGTGCCCCCAGGGGGGTCCAGCGGATCTGCTGCACTTTGGATACCTGGTGGCCTTCGGCCCATCTCGCCGCCGTGTCTCGAAAAAGCACAGATCATTGCAGAAACATGAGCTTTCGAGGGGCCGAGCGGATTTTGCGGACTCTCGTTGGGATCGAAGAGATAGGCGTGGACCTCCGACGGTTTGTGTTCATGCACTTACTTGTCGCTCTCCTCCCTCCTCCTCCGCCTCTGCCTCCTCCTCCGCCTCCGCCTCCGCCGCCTCCTCCTCCTCCTCCTCCTCCTCCTCCCCCTCCTCCTCCTCCTCCTCCTCCTCCTCCTCCTGCTCTGCTCCCCTCTGCCTCCGCCTCCTCCCCCTCCTCCTCACTCCGCCCTCCTCCTCCTCCTCCTCCTCCTCCTCCTCCTCCTCCCCTCCTCCTCCCCTCCTCTCCTCCTCCTCCATTCCTCCGCCTCCCTTCCTCCTCCTCCTCCTCCTTCTCCTCCTCCCTCCCCCTCCTCCTCCCCCCCCTCCCCTCCACAATTACACAATATGAAAATACTCTCCCACTTCCCCTGATAGCGTCCCGAAGATATCCGACCCCCCCCCCGCGTATGGTTTTTTTTACACAGGATTCCCGGGAAACGGGTTTTCGCTTGCGTTTTTTTCCAAAATGCTGCTCTCGCTGAGGCGCCGGCCTCATTTCTGCTCCCGAATCGTTCCGAATCGTGCTCCCGCTGCAGCGTGGGCCTCATTTTCGGATCGGTGTTTGGCCTCCGTCGTTCAGGATGGCGTTCTCGCCCCAGCGCGGGCCTCTTTCTCGCGCGCCCATCCGCCCGCCACCACCGCGCCGCACCGCCACCACCACCACCTCCACCACCACCACCACCACCACCACCACCACCACCACCACCACCACCACCACCACCACCACCACCACCACCACCACCACCACCACCACCACCACCACCACCACCACCACCACCACCACCACCACCACCACCACCCCAACCACCACCACCACCACCACCACCACCACCACAACCACAACCAGCACCGACAACCACGCACACTACGCACGCAACGCACCTGCACGCACTGCACGCGCTCCTACCAACCACTACCACGCGCGCGCGGAGCCACAGGTCCGCTACGACACGCGTCCGCGGATAGAGAAAATCAGCGCCATGGTAAGGGATGGGAGGGAGGGGTAGGACGTCAGATATGACGCGAGCGCACCTAGCTTGCCCTCCGCCCCCTCCCGCTCCTCCCCCTCCTCCTCCTCCTCCTCCTCCTCCTCCTCCTCCTCCTCCTCGTCCTGCTTATGCGGATCCTTGTCGCTCTGGCGCACGGGTCGTGGACCAGAGGCCCTCTTGGAGGCCCACCTTGGGGGTCTCTCGGAGGGCCTCTCTGGGGGCGCCTTGGAGGCCCCTCTCAAGGGCCCGCGGGGGCGGCCCGGGAGGCCATGTTTTCGTTAAGTCGGGCCTGTCCCTCTACAGGGGGAATATTCGAAAATAGTCAAACAATAGTCAGCGGATTTTTTTTTGAGTATTGTTTGACCATTTTGGAGTATTTTTTGAATACTTAGCGCATTTTTGGTCGAACATCCCCTGTAGGGGGACACGCCCGACTTAAGCCATGTTGCGTCGAACAGAAAACTGCATAAACATAGGTTTTTGGTGCTCCGCGCGGATTTCTTGAACCTGCGCTGGCCCCCCCCTTGTGGCGCCTCCAGCGCCGCGCTCCGCGCGCCAGGGAGCGGGGTCCAGCGCAGATTCAAGAACTCCGCGCGGAGCGCCCAACGTTTATGTTTAAGCCGTTTTTTCTTGTTCTATTGAGGGCGAGGGCTCCTGGGGGCCCTTCGAATTACACGTTGGGGCCGCCTTGGGTCAGTAACGAAGACGCCTTCGGCGAATCACCGCCGCCACCAGCTGTCGTTGAAACCTTTCGGGGAACACGTAATGATGATGAAAATGAGGAGAAGAAGGAAAAGGAGTAGTAGGATGAGGGGCAGGAGGAGGGAGGAGGAGGAGGAGGAGGAAGAGGAGGAGGAGGAGGAGGAGTAGGAGGGGGATGAGGAGGGGGAGGATGAGGATGAGGATGAGGAGGAGGAGGAGGAGAAGGAGGATAGCGCCTCTTGGAAGCCTCTTGGGGCACTCTTGGGGACTCCTGGGAGCTTCCTGGGGGCCTCTTGGAGGCCTCTTCTTGGGAGCCTTTGGGGGCTTGTTCGGGGCCGCTTTGGCCGCACTCGGGCGACCCTGGCCCGTCTGACGCCGTCAGCAGCCGTCTTGGATGCCTCTCTGAACCGACTTGGGGCCCTCTTGTGGCGCTTCAGGGCCGTCTTGGAGGCCATCTTGGGCGTCTTGGAAGCCTCTTGGGCCGCCTTGCGGCCCTCTTGGGGCCGTCTTGGAGGCCTCTTGGGCTGTGTCCCGGGGCCATCTTGGAGGCCTTTGGGGCCACCTTGGGGCGTTTTTTGGGACCTCTTGGGCCGTCTCGGGCCGTCGGAGGGCCAAAAAGAAGCAAATGCCGCATTCCTACAACACATCTCAGATAAATCCATGATTGTGGCTTTTGCGGTCCCACCTGGAGGACCACTTGGAGGCCTCTTGGGCAGTCTTGGAGGCCTGGAAGGTTTCTCTGTGGCCGTCTTGGGCCGTCGTGGAGGTCTTTTGGGCGAACTTGGAGGCACCTCGGACACTCTTGTGCCGTCTGGGAGGCCATCTTGGACCATCTTGGGCGAACTTGAGGGCCATCTTGGTCGTCTTGGAGGCCATTTTGAGTCGTCTTGGGGATTTTATTGGGGCACGTTAAAGTGCTTTCGGGTCCCGTCTGGGTGGCCGACGCGTTGGGCCGAAGCTTACGGGGGAGGTCTTTTGAAGAAAACCAAAACCAAGCCGTAAGGTTCAGCACGCCGGGCACCCCTGTGGCAAGACCACAGGGGGCGGCAGTTCTGATGGCCGAAGAGGGCCCAACATGGCTTCAAGACGGCCCACGAGGCTCCCAAGATGGCGCAGGAGGCCCCCCAGAGGACCCCCAAGAGGCAAACATCGTTTCATTCTTGTCGGAAGACGTACAATTTTAGCATATTAGCTTCTTTGGTCTTCGCAGCGTCCAAGACGGCCCAAGAGGCCCCCGAGATCGCCCGAGGACGGCCTGAGAAGCCCCAAAGAGCGCTCCAAGACGGCCCAACAGGGCTCCAAGACGGCCCAAGAGAGCCCCAAGACGGCCCAAGACGGGCCCCAGAGGGTCCCAGAAGGATCCCCAGAGAGCCCCAAGAGGGCCACAGGAGGCCACGGGAGGTCCCCAAGAGCGCCCCCAGAGAGCCCCTAAGACGGCCCAGGCCCGCCAGTTTATTTCAAAGTACTTTAGTATTGTAGCACTGTAGTAGCACACACGTATGGTAGTTTTGTAAAAGTATTGTAGCAGTTCTGTAGTGGTAGCTCTTTGGCAGTGAAGTAGTTGTAATATGGTAATTATTTGCTGGTAGTGGCATTAATCTACGATTGTATTCGCAGCAGTACTCTAGTACTAGCTGTAGTGGTCGTACGGTAGTACTGTAGTGATAGTTTGCTGTTACTGTCGAGCCCTTGTATTGTAGAAGAGCGCTAGTATTGGAAGTCTGTGAGGTCGCACTGAAGAAGGAGTACTCAAACCCTGTAGTGGTGCTGCAGTAGCACTGTAGTAGTAGTGCTCGAATGTTGTAGTAGTAGTTCCCCTGGCTGTAGTAGTGGCACTGTAGTGCCGGAGTAGTTTAGTCGTAGTTGTATTGTATTGTATTGTATTGTATTGTATTGTATTGTATTGTTTTGTATTGTATTGTATTGTATTGTATTGTATTGTATTGTATTGTAGTAGTAGTAGTAGTCGTTGTAGTAGTACTAGTAGTAGTCGTAGTCGTAGTCGTCGTTGCAGTAGTAGTAGTAGTAGTAGTAGTAGTAGTAGTAGTAGTAGTAGTAGTGCCTGTACTCTATAGAGCAGTGAAGTGGTATTGAAGTGGTCGTAGTAGTGGTCTAGTTCTGGCTGTAG